GTCTGTTAGAGACAATCGCTCTGAGGCTCTGACGGGTAGCAACACAGAGACAATGACAGTATTTTTCCTGGAAGAAAGGAAACACCGCCTGGAGAGCGGCATCTCTGGCTTCACATACTGGCTCCGCCACTGATCACCAGAGGCCGCTTCAGCCACGTGAGCCAAACAACGTCAATTTCTCTCTCCTCCCTTCAAACCAAAAGCCCGAATCCTTAAGATGTTTGAGTACTTGTGCCGTTGGGGCTAGAATAACCAATCTTTGCCAAAATAAAGCAAAGGAAGCTTGTGGTCTCTTGAAGATAAAATGGTTTTATTTGACATAAGCTTTTTTTCTGAACTATAACTCCACTTCAACTGATGTATCTGACAAAATAGGCTGCAGCAGTCCATTACTCCTAGTGCTATTTATGCATACTGTCATAAACACAGTAGAACTTAATTATCTTAAACTGGAGCATCATCCATTAGATAACTGAAAAGGAATGTGATTGACAAATGACAACAGTACATGTGCAGGATCTAGTTAAGTTTGTATGTCTAGGGCCTGGTTTACAGATACTGTATATGTTCAAATGTACAAATTCAAAGGATCTTCCCTGTGTGAACTACTGTAAAATTTCAGTTAATCGATTTTTATATACAAAAAGCACTCCTTTTTACACTATGTCTAATTGCACATTTATTTATTTAGAATATTTGTGCATTTTTATAAGTCTGCTTCCAATTAACGTTCTCACAATCATTGATACAGTATACCATGGTTTTGAAAGAGATTTGTACACAGTTTTTCTTTTTTTAAGGGTGGTAGTGGTTCCACATTAAGCTCTTTCATCCTATGCTCACATTCCCTTTACTTTTCTACATCATATTATGTTGCTATTTTCTTTTATTGTTTAATTTTATATTGGAAACTCCAGAGAGAGCACATCTTTTTCATTACTACTTCTGTTTCCTATCCATGTGTGCTAATGGAGCTATAACTATCATAAGATTATAAGTATGCTGCAAATGAGAACTTTAATGTTGTGATACTAGTAGACCACAACCTAACCATGAATCAACAGTGTGATGCAGCAAACAAACAAACAAACAAACAAAAACAACCAATGCAATTCTTGACTGCATCAACAGGAGTACAAGTCAAGGGATGTAGTAGTACCACTCTATTCTGATTTGATCAGATTTCACATGGAATATTATGTCCAGTTCTGGGCACCAGAATTCAAGAAGGATACTGACAAGCTCGAACATATTCATTTTTTTTAAACAATTATATACATTATTGTGTGTCTACAGTTCTATTCTGCAACATTATTTCCAATTTCCTTTTTCTCTCAAAATAAATCACCCCTTTATTTGTATGCTGTAATCTTAGGGGGGTTGCAGACTGCCAGAAATAGTGCAAATTGAGTCCACTTTTAGGGTTAGTGCTAGGGAATCATGGGAACTGTAGTTTATTGTGGCACCAGAGCTCTCTGACAGAGAAGGCTCAATGTCTCAGGGGGAAAAACCAATTCCCATGATTCCCTAGCACTAACCCTAACCCTAAAAGTGGACTCAATTTGCACTATTTCTGGCAGTCTGCAACCCCCCTAAGTTTGGATTGTAATAAAGCATATCATATAGAAATATTATTCTTTGTTAAGCTGACATATTATCATTGTTCATCCACATATTCTTGTTGTTATCTGGATAGCTGTAAGGCCATATGTCATGACATTCAAATAAGTTTTAGTACAACTTTTACATGCTCAAACATATTCAGAGGACAGTGACCAAGCTAGTAAAAGATCTCGAGACCGGGCCCTATGAGGAATGGTTTAGGGAGCTGGGTATGTTTAGCAGTGTGTGTTTTGGACCATATAGTGGTGTCAACCCAGGTTCTTTCTGCCGTGCGGACGCAGGCTGTGAACTGGAGGATAAACCAACCGTTGGGCCGTCCAACGGTCCTCCTTCCCTCCATACCAGGCTCCCCTCAGGAGTGTGGGGCCGGGCAACGAGCCCTCCCTCCCTCCCTCTCACCCACCGTCAGCTGCTGCTGCTGCTGTTGCTGGTGGTCCTTGGCGTCGTGGCTCTCCTTCATGGTCATGGCGGGCGCGGGGGGCTGCCTCTTCCTCCCCTCCCCCTCCAACGTAGGCTCTTCCTCAGCTGAGGGACGGCGGCGATACTCCGCAGGGAAGGCCCTCCTCGCCACTCTTCTTGGGGAACTTGCGCCCAGACTCAGGCGCCAGAATTATGCCCCCTTCACTCCCTTTCGCAAAGGGAAAGTGCCGCCTCTCCGCCTCCATGGCAGCAGCCCTGCCCCATCTGGAGAGGCAGGCAGAGAAGGGAGAGAGACTCCTTCCCCGCTCACGCCCAGACACACCACTTCTCCCACTTCTTTCTTTCTTTCTTTCTTTCTTTCTTTCTTTCTTTCTTT